CTTGCTTATTACGCATGTCACACCAGGAACTCTGCACACCAGCTTTCTGCTATCTCAGTGGTGTGCCAGGACTTGGGGCCAAAACTTAATCCTAGCTGTTTAAGGACCTGATTACCTGGGAAATGTTCCTTTTTTGTAGTGTCACATACCCAGAGCTGGTGACGAGGGAGCTGAAGTGGGAGTGCGTCAAGACGACGTTTGTGGCAGCACACTCTGTAGCACAGCCTGCGTTGGCTCACTTGCTAGGCAACCTCTGAATGCTGCCTTTCTCAAGTGTTTGGGAGGAGGTGAGCTGATCTCCTTTTGAGTATGGCTAGAACAGAGCAGCTCTGATTCTGAATCGTTATTCTGCCGCTGATTAATTAACAATGGGAACAGTTTATTCATTAACTGAACTTGTCTCTTTTCTCTGCTTTAATTTGGAAGAAGCAATTAAGTACTAGGGTTGATGAACCAGAGTGTAAATACACAAAGAGCAAGTCCCAAGGCTCTGTGCCTTTCTTTATATAAGGAGGATGTTAACACCTGTTTACCTGTAAGGTAAACTTCCTGCAGCTCTCCTATTAGAGCTTTTGGGGATGAGGCTATGGAGAGTGAGCAGTGTGGGTGCAGTGTTGGCACCCATACACAACAGAAGCTGGGCTTGGGCCAAGATCAGTTTGCAGATGCAGCTGGTGCATCAGGCCCTGCATGGATTTAGCAGTTGCTGTGCATCTGTAGAACTAGTAATGGTACACAACAACCTTGCATGGAAGGAATTTCATTCGCATTTTTAAAATATTTATAAAAGCCCTCTTTGTAAATGCAGCTACTTGTACTTGCTGCAGTAGCAGAGAGGATATTTTGCTATGTGTGTCAGGATCACTAGATGCATCACTGACATATGTCTGCCTTCTGGATGGAAGGCAACAGCCTTTGTCACCATTTCCTGTGAACTTTATGGCCTTCTGGTCTCTTGCCCCTCTCCAGTTCCTAGCACTCAGAAGGGATGAGAAAAACACTACCAGATGAATGAGCAACTGGTGTAATCCTGCTGAGACAGGATACCACTTTCAAGTTGCATGTGATTGAAATTTGTGATGATTTCCACCCTTCTGGGGATCTGCTGGCCAGCTATAGGCAAAAAATGGTTCTGGGTCTGAGATATCTTGGCAGCTGGAGGGATAAACTCTTGAGCGGTCATTAACTGATGCAGACAGACAGAAGCAAAGGGAAAGCAACTCAAGGGGAGTGAGATATGTGCTTTTCTTTGAATTTATTCCTTAGCTGCTGTTTCTTATAATGGTCCACTGATTCTGTAGTTAATTTTGTATAGAGATTTTGTAGCTTCTTTGTAAGCTTGAATCTCATTTTTTCAGGAGCGAGTTCAAACATTTAGTCTTGGTCTTGAACTCTCATCTGACAGATTAGGCACCTGCATTATAATTATGACCAGACATTTTCTATTCCCAAGGACTTCTCTTGTCTCTTTCTCATTGATGCCTGGAAGAGTTTAGTAATAGCCAAGGGAGTTAACAACTGAGTTACTTACTACTTCAGACCTTGGTGAGATGAGCTTGTGAAACTACAGACTTGTTTCACTGTTACATATTAACGGTTCAGAGTGTGGTAGCACCTAGAAGACAATACAAGAATTCAAACTAGGCCTCCACCTGGCAAATGCCCTCCTTCTATGCTGGACAAATGTGTGATGAAAGAGAAGAAGTAAGGAAGAAAGAGATCGAGGTACAGAGGGACACAGCAGCAAAGATGCTGAATAGTCATGTCTTCCAGTCTCCTCCATAAGCCTTTATCTCTTCAGCCCTATTAGAGAGCATCTTGTTGGCAATAAAATTAGAAATGGAGGCTAAAGGCTGGGCATACAATGGGAGAAAGTGGCAGCTTGAAACCTCAAGACACTTCTCTTGTGCCCTTTGAAGAGGGACTGTCACAGGACTGATGTCAGAAGAATGGATATGGATTTGTCTGAGAGAACCTGTGCAAAAGGGTAGCAGATGAAGGATCTGAATCTCAGTGACTGTGTCTGACACAGATCAAAGAAAAATGGATTCTTTAATTAGAGGAGGCTTTCAATTACACAAATTGCTGATGCAATGGGTGGTCAAAAGCCTGTATGGAATAGGTCCTTCAGATTGCTGAGCATGCTTTCAAGACAAGATATTAAGGATATGATTCAAAACTGTCTTGTAAAGATGTACTACTGTCATCTTGCCATGTGACAGATGAAGTTTGTTAATGGGCAAGGAGTGCATTGACTCTGGTCTCTCTAAGGCCCTTACTACAAATTATTCTGACTTGTGACAGCCACAAGCTGAAGTAATAAAATAAACCTGACCCTGCATGCATCCTATGAACATCTCTCTTCCGCCAGACTACCAGACAACATACTTTCAGATGTCTCTCCTAGGGCAATTGATTATTGATAAGATTTTTCTTTTTTTTTTTTTTTTAAATCTGGTGACATACCACTTGCATAGGTAAGATGTTTCTCTTGGATCTCCTCTTCCCATCCTCTTTGTTGTTTATGCAGTATACAGCAGCAGTAGTGCTGCATGTTCCCTCCTACCCTGGAAATCCACTATGTGGAATAAGCAGAGGGAAGGAGCAAAGGGAAACTCGAGGTGTAACTGGGTAGTTGGACTTAAGGAAAATAAAGAATAAATGTTTGTAAAAGAGCAAGCATGTTAATGATCAGCTGGAGTTGAGAAAATATCAAGCTCAACAGTCATCAGGTGTGACAAACTCCCCTTTAAGAAGGGAATTCAAGGCTTACTTTGTTAGGATCAATTCCAGACCAGGATTTAGGCATCATGACTTTCAGTAAAGGTATTCCTTCCCTCCTCACCAGTTCAAAACCTTGGTTACAGCACATGAATGTACAGGGCTGACTTTGGATCATTACGTAATGAATTTAGGTGTCTAAGAATAGCAGTCACACTGAATGGAAGGGATGAGAGAAAGTCTGATCCAGCCAACTGGCAAGGGGATGAGACCTCTCACTATATTGCCTGGATTTAGAGAGTAATCTCAGAGGTGGCATTTTGGAATGGAGATTCAGCTTCTGAAACTGCTTCTGGCAGATAAATGCTTGGCCTGTATGCTTCAGGTAAAAACTGCTATTTTTTCACAAAACTTGTTTGAAGGAGGAGCCTTCAACAATCCTTGTTTCATACCTAGATTATTCATTCAGAAAGTGTTAAAGATGAGAATAGACCTTTTGCCTACAATCATGCCATAAATAACTCTCATATGGGACAACTTTCTGCATTTCTTGAGCCTTGGTCAGTGTGCACAGATTCATTGGAAGGCAAGTAGAAATACAGTATAGTTGAATAGTACAATTCTTACACCTTGAAATTGTTCATAATTTTCAATTATTTACTTGTTCCTTTCATTTTGAAGGCAAGAACTGTAAATTCATACAACTTCATGAAAAAATAAGAGAAGCTATCAGATGCTAGTTAACAAGTTCAGATCACTTCCTCAGTGACAGGGTTGTACTTGGAGTGTTAGAGTGAAGAATAAAAGTGCTGGTTTTTCAACTAGTATAGCAGTAATGGGACCCCACTTATGTCTCTAGTGGCATAAAATGAGACAGGTTAAGGAACACATAATGTAAGACATAAAATGGCATAACTATGTCAGTTCTTCTGAGCAGGCAATATGACAAAGGATGATTCAACAGGAGAGCAATAGACTGGCATGCAGCTTGGTTGCCACAATCAAATAGACTGAAAACCACCACACCCTCAAGAGGCATAATTTTGCTCTATCTTTTTCTGTGCCCATGAGCATGGTCTGCAAAAGCATGTTAGATTTTTTTACCATGTACTTTCCTCTCTTTACGTTTACCTTAGGGATGACACAGACACTTGATCATTATGATTTCCAATGACTCATGCTCAGCAACACAAAGCCAAATTGATTACCAATCCGTCCTCCAGGAAATACTGGTGGGTATCCTCAGGAATCTAGGTTAGGTTCAGGTAAACATCTCTCACACTGGTTCTTCTGATGGCTAGAGCAATTCGGTTCTTCCTGCTTTCTGTTTCTAACAACAGAAGTCTTGTTCTCAGTTAAATAAAAAAAGAATATATTTGGTAGGTAAAAAAATCCAAACAACAAACCCCCAACAAAACCTTCAAACAGAAAATATAATGATATACCAGAAGAACCATTTATGCATTAAAATTGGTTCTCACTTTTCCAGAAGGCATCCGAAGCTCATTAAAAGAGGCTTTATTTTAGTGTGGTTGTGGTTTTCATTTTCCCTCTTCTTAAAACTGCTTCTGTCACAGACAAATCACTTTCTTTGGCATTTTCAAGCACATATTTCCTAGCAGTCATGCTAATACCATCACAGGAGGGAAGCATTTAACTATTTAACTATTGCTGTTTCACCTCTATCTCAGCAGTGGCAATTCTGACTTGCAATTGCCATTGAATACAATTTTTCTGCAGGGAAATGTAGCCAAAATAAAGCCCTCGCCTTAAATAATGAAACCAATGAACTTACACAAGGACTGATTTCTGCATTATGCAAAATCTGTTATTTTGCATGGTTGAATTGGTGGAATACAAAGATATCTCCAAGTCAAGTAATTGTGATATACCCAGGATGCAGCACACATGCTTGAGATTTTTGTTGCAGGCTATGATAAGGATCAGATCAGGGGCAAAATTATTTAGTAATGGTATGTTTGCACCAAAGTGGTTGATTTTACCTGGAATCTGCCTCTATTGTCTGAGTGCCAGTCTGTGATGGCCTTATCTGCAGTATTCACTATGTACTAGCCTTATTCAAAAAGTTTTAAAGTCAGTGCAAGGGTTCTCTCTGCTTTTAACAGCTTTGTGTAAGGCTCTGATTTGGACATATATGGGAAGCCTCAATTATGGCCTTCATCTCCCTGCTTTGAAAAATGTGGTCTTGGCCATCCAGCATGAAGAAGGCTTCCTTGTTCTAAAAGCTGGATTTTTATTGTTGTATCTCTTACAGGCAATGTCACTCAGCAGAGTCCTTCAATTTAGCAAGGTGCTTCAGATACAGTCTTAATTTTAAGTCACCTTACGAACCTGTGTAAATCAGGGAGGATTGTTTTGGTGCTTAAAACCAGGTAGGTTCTCACTCAAGTCCTTAAAATGCAGAATCAGAATAGCCATACCCACACCTAGCAATCCTCAGTGATACTACATTATTAACTACTACTGTAGTACTGTGGAATGAGGATGGGACCCTTTGTCCCTGAGGCATTCTGTTGAAGGATCTGAAACAAAGCACTTACATGGCAGAGAAATACAAGAAAGAGATGGTCTTGGAGGGAATACCTGACAGGAATGGTGTTGAGTTAGTCACTGGAATAAATAAGCCCACTGGTTGAGAAGAAGTGATTAAAGAGGACCAGCAGCCCCAGAACTAAATACTAGACCAGAAGCCTCTGCCTGGGTGATTGCTATAGATGCAGAAAGCTAATAGGAGGCTGGAGCTAAATTCTCTCCTTCTCTTACAGCATTTCTGACCAGTTTTCTGTGATGGCTTCAACCTTAACACTTTCTTCATGGGTCTCCTGATCTGCAAAGGTGTAGCAGCATTCTAAATAGTGTAGACCTGGTGACTTGACCTTGATGTGCATTTGAGCCACACTAGGGTGAAATTTTCTAGGACACTGAAGCTGGCCTGATATTTCAAGGTGAGCTTGGTACTTTGTTGGCTTTATTCTTAGCTAATTTAGAAAGCTGAGTTAGCCCACGAGATAAACAAGCATTGGAAGGGGCACACAGGAAAGTGCAGAAGTAGTCCACATCTGTGGCAGAGGGGTGGACTTTCTCCCTCCAGAGAGAGAATTGGACAAATGCAAACACTTCATGCAAGGGCAACATTTTTCGTACTTATTGGCCCAGTAGTACCACCTGTATTTTCAGATCTCAGTGATCTACCTTGGTTCATTCCATGCTTCCCTTTAGGGAAGTGCTGCAGGACTAAGAACTGAGGGTTATGGTGCAGATGAGGGAAGGTGATATCTGCAGCACTTGTGATGGAACCTGAATAGATGCCGACTAACAAGAAATTCCCCATTTACTCTGTCTTCTTATAGACTACCTTGTCAAGTCACCACCTTCATGAGACCCTCTTTTCATCTCTTTACAGGAAAAGATTAGTCATCTGCCTTCTAAAAGTATTGCAAAGCTAAATTATTTATTTTCTAGAAAAAATAGTTGGTTTCAGCTTCAGACCTATCAAACATTCTCATGGTTCTTGTTTGTACACTTATTTTTTCAAAATGTATGGGAGATGAGAAGACTGAAGGTTAGTGGTCCAACACAAATTTTAGTGGTTATTACTGTAGCAAATAGCTGGATTAGGTAAGCCTCTGAACAAGAGCTTTTTCTTCTCAGCACTTTTTTTTTTCCCCACAGAAGAATGTGAGCCACTCTTTATTAGGTGTAAATTGTGTATTACTATATCAAGAGACTGATGTTATTTACATGGGATCATGGCTTGGCTCGCTCAAGCTTTGCTGCACTGCTTTGTGACTGCAATGAGGCAGTCACAATTCTCTTGCAACCCTCTTCCTCATGTCTCCCAGGCCATGGTGTTTGTGTTTCCTGATTTTAAAGCACAGTGTCTTAATTATGGTCAGAAAAAAAACACAAGGGAAGGGAATGTTCTGATCTGTCTTTTAACTGCAGTTCTTACTGGTATTTATTTCAAAGTAATTATAGGAATGGAAATTGCTATGAAAAAGTGGCCTTTTCCTACTAACAATCTCAGACACTTGTGTGTATTTGAGACAAATCTGCAGACCTTTGTTGACACAAGTTTTATTGCAAGCCATATTTATTTTCCAGCCACTACTGTGGAATAGCCTTGCAGCAAGGGCTGTCTTCAAGGAGAGGAGAAGGGTAAAGAACCAGAGGGACTTGCAGTGCTAGTCACTTTTTCCTCTTACTCTCTTATCACAGACAGCTTTTGCTGCTGAAACTGTGAGCCTCTCCTGCCCCCTCGTGCAGACATGTGAGCACTGCCAGCAAGTCTCTTGGAAAAGTTTGCTCAGAGAAATGGTAAAGTAAAATAACATACAAAAGAGCTTCGAGATAAAGGAGTTGTGCTGAACAGTGTTTTAGAAAGGGTAGCCGTATGAAGACAGTTGTCTAGTCCTGCACTGGAGTATCTTCCAAGCCATTAACAAAGAGAAGTTGCTTCTTGAAAACTTGGTTTTCCAGTCTGTGGAACACATAACCTTATGAAGGAAGGTCTGGTGAAAGTCTGTTTATGTGTCACGTTCAGATTTGACAATAACTGTGTCCAAAATTTTAATCTGGAGAGAGGTATCTTCAGGAATTCAGCATGGATGCATTAGTTAAGCCTTTCTACTCTACTGCTTCTCTCTGCAGGACAGGTCTCCCATGTGTATTAAGCCTTTACTGGCATGTTGCTGGGCCCTGCTGCCACCTGGTGCTTCTTACACCCTCATTTTGTACCCAGATATCTCAGGCTAGACATCTGTTCCTCTGGCCTGTGTCACTCAGTGCACTGAGTTCTAAAATATTTTTGGGTGCCCTTAACTGAAAAGAAATTATCAAGATAAATATCAAACAGTTTGTCAGAAATGGCATGGTGACCAAAGGGTGAGAGGCACAGCAATACCTAAGCTTTGCATTCAGATTTCAATGCACAGTTTTATATACCTTCACCAATACTGGACTTTATTAGAAAACTGGACTTTATTTAGAAGACGATTTGTTTTATTTTTCTCAGTGCTAACTTAGACAAAATTTTACTAATGTTAATGGGAGTTCAGCTGAGCAGAATACAACTGGAATCAGGACTGTGGTATTTGGTTGTTTTGGTTTTTTTTCCTAACACAGTCAGGGTCAGAGTGGATTGATCTGTGTTCCAAAAACATCTTAGAAGAAGATATTGAGTTACAGCAGCAGTTTCCTCACCTTATTTTTGAGGACCAAATTAGGTTATATAACTAAAGTTAAGCAAACACATACTGACATTGTCTGAGGTATTAGGCACCCTATTTTGGGTGCAGCTTAACTATTTTAGGGAAAAGAGCAATCGATAATAGAGGACTGATTAAGAGCAGAGAAGATGAGTAGAATGATCAGGAATACAAGTCCTTTAATTCTTTTTCTAGGTTCCCATCCTGTAGGGTTTGGATCTTTTTCATCATCTTTCTCTGCATAAATGAAATTCTAACATCTCCCCCTTTCAACTCACAACAAAAACCCCAAACCAAAACCAAAAGCCAAAACAAAAACATAAAAAAAAAAAGGAGAAAACCCACAACAAAAAACCCACCAAACAACACAGAGAGGAAATTCCTTCTGTGATTTCTGCGAACAGACTCTTAAGAGCAGATTTATAAGGTCTCCTAGTCTCTAAACTGGCTTTGCTTACTGGAAAACATTCTTGCAAGCAGCAGGGCACCATCATGTTGTACAAGAAAGGGGTGATGGTGGGGCACTTGAATAAACAAAGTCACAGAAGAAAAATCCACTCACAGTTATTAAATATGAGGATACAACCTCTGTGTGAAGAATTCCCTTAACTATGGATTGCTGAAGCCCATGTCTTTCTCAAGGGAAGTATAACAATAATCTTCCTATGCTACTTCCCTTCCAAACAAGTGATAGCCACTGCCAAAAACCAGTTAATCAGGTAACTGATCTTCAGTCTGGTCCTACCATTCTATTCATAAGGAGTCTCTTAATCTGAAACCCAGTGAGAGCAAATAAGTTGTGATTTATAAAGAAAAAAAATAAGTAGAGAGTAATTCACACATTCTTCCCACTACCCAATAGATCTGGCTACAAATGTAGAAGTAACTATGAAAACAGAGAATTGAAAGCCACAAAGAGCCATAAATGGATTCATCAGATCCAAATTTTAAATAATTCAGCTTAGAAAGATTAAGTGGTGCTGGTGTTGTTATTGCAACTTTTTAAGGCCTCAATTAATTCTAGAGAAAGAGAGCCAATGCACCTTTAAAACTTTCTGCTTAATCAAGTATAGCGAATGCTCATTTAATGATTGTCTTTTTGTACCAACAAGAAGTAACAACGCTTTTAGCAAAAGAAATGGAATGAGAGAGAAATTGCCTAATCAGCCCTACTCATGCAGTGCTTTGTGAGAGAGATTATTGAATTTTCAGTCTCTGCAGAATTTTAATGAAGCTCTGTCTTGCTGGAAAATCCAGCCCTTTGTCAATAAAGTTCAATAACTCGACCACCCATGTAATAAGATGTACTGCCTGCAATCTTTCACTTGCCAAAGTCAGAGCCCTGCTGGAGTCTCCCTGAAAGTTGGAAGTACTCATTTGTGTTGTGTATTTTCCTACAGTCTGCATGCAGTGGAATTTGTATTCACTGTAGTGAAGGTGTTTATAGTGAGGTAGAGAAAAAATTTAAATTTGTCTCAATGCGCTGGTTGCTATCCTAATAGGAATATCGTCCTGTGGAAAGGTAATACAATGAACCTGTCTTTAGGACCATATCTGTCACAGCAAAACTCTTCATTAAGTTACAAAATAAGCAACAAAGTACTGAGGAAGACAGAATTATAAGAAAGGGAGTGAAAGATGTTTCAGTAATGTCTGAGCTGAGGTGAAAAATTAATGGGGAGAGAAAAAATCAGAAGGTCACTAAACAGGAGAATACCTTTGCAGCACTGCTGTTGTTTGGTATCAGAAGAAAAGGGAGACCACTAATCTGCCAAACTAGACAGAGCAAATTTCAAGGTATATTCACAAAACTCTCCAATAACCAAAAACCAAAACAAATCAAAACAAACCCCAAACAAACAACAATAAAAACACCACAAAAAAAATCAAAGAAAGAAATGAAGTTAATTTGTCTAGATGGGTATGTAGTGACAATTATGTATACACCAAATTTTAAGTTCAAAAATAATCAGAAATTGCAGGGATGTGAGCAGGCTTTTTTCTATGGAATAGCTGGCCACACTGAGGACCTATGTGTTGCTAGTTTCAAACAGAAGTTCTGTATTTCTGGATTTACAGAACCTTTTGTTGAAGAAAATTTCATTGTGGCACTAACTTATTGCAGTGAGAAATTGTTTTTATATTAACTATGCATTTTTATATTAACTACTTTTTTTTTTCCAGTGGAAAAACTTTTGCTGAAGCAACTTCTATACCAATTGCTCTCTAACTCTGGACTCTATTCCATGATGAGCAAGAAAGGAATTAAAATTTCTGAAGAATAATTTGTTTAAAGGAAAATCGATAGATAGCAGTGGGGAGTTTGGATTTGATAAAACCAGGAGAAGACTCAGTCTCCTCTGATGAGAGGACACAAAGTTATTGAAGATAATGTTAATAAAACTAGTGGGGTAATACAAAGAATAGCACAGAAGCAGATCAGCCACAGTAGAAGAAAACTTAGAATCAACTCTGCCACCAAGGTTGTAATGGAAGTGAAGAAACCTGTCAAATATATGGAAAGCAGCAGGAAGTGTGAATATTTTCTTGTCCCAGCTGCCCATAAATGTCTTTCAGACAAAGATTTACATGAACTGAATCTAATACCACAAAGTTAGATGGATAAAATAGTCAGGGAAGTAATTAGAGATACCCAAAGAATGAAGAATCGGCAGCCAAAGAATAATAATGCAATGGATGATGTTTGCTTTATAGAGACAGCAGAAGATCAGAAAGGTTTAATGCAGATTCTTATAAGCTATGGAAATCTGTCAATTAAAATAGTGTGAGTAGCTGGAAATGTTGCAGAGTGCTTTGGAGAAGAATGTTTGTTTTCTTCCTAATAAAAGAACCTTGTGGAAAGATGCCAAAAATGCATTAAAAGTTTCTCAGTGACTGCTCTGGCTGAAAAAGGACTAAGGACTGGTGACCCTAGTTTTGGATAACTTTTAAGCTGAGTAGGTGTCTGGAGTTCTTGCTACTCTGACCAAAATACTCATCGAGTCATCCAGATTAAAGGAGATGTGAGTAATAAAGCACTTATTTTCCAAAACTGCTCACAGGTAGCATTATGACCCTCTGGGAATTTTATGACACTCACTGGTAGAAACGGGAAGAAATGAGATAGGAAACAGGTGAATATCTTAATATGAAATATTAAAAAACAGTGCTAAAGCTGTGGGGATTTTAGTCAATGGAAGAATTAACATGGAAATAGAAGAAAGCAGACAGAGGGAGGCAAAGAGAATGGGTAGAAGTAAGGGAAAGAGGAAATTATTCTGGAAGGAAATGGAGATGATGGCACTGCTGAAGAGCAATTTAATAGAATGGAGCTGTCCATCATATTGAAAACTAATATAAGTAGAAAGACAGATTATTAAATACTTGCAGAAGAATTGTTTTCATGTCCAGTCAGGGCTAATCCCAGAGCAGGATAAGAATATGAATTGAATTTTTAAAAGAAAGAGACTTCTTTCCTGAGTACTTGCTGGTAAATAGGTTGGAATTGGAGTAGCAGATAATGTATTGGAGAAAGTAAATTTATAAATAAGGTATTGAAGAGAGTAGGCTTTTGAGCCCTCAGGAACTGACTATTAAAGTCAGTGTTAAAGTGTGAACAAAGCATCTGTTTTGGAGGATGTGTGTACCAGGAAAGATATAGCTGCCTGAAAAGAGAAAAAGAGAGAAAACACCAGAGGAAGAAACACATTAAAGTTAATGTTTGATGCATATGATGTGTCCTAATAGCAGTGAAGAGAGAAAAAAGGATTGCCAGCAAGACTAGGAATCAGAGAGGGTGTGGCAAACAATGAACTTGCATGTACCAGCGTTTGTTTGCTGGAGTCAGATAATTGCCAGAGCATTTGTGGTTTATGTCTTAGAACAAATGTCTGGGAAGAGTCCAGACTTTGTCTTACTGAGTGTACAAAACCAACTGAGATTAACTGATGAACACAAGGTAAGAACCTTTTCCTCTGTACTTGCCAAATAAACTCTCCAAAGGTGGGTGTAGGTCAGCCAAACCTTTTAAGAGTCATTTATTTTCCACCTCATAAGTTATTTAGATAAGGTAAAATGTGCCATTGAATGATACATCCTAGGTCAATCATGAGACGTGTTGCTTTATGCAGGGGTTACTGGGTACAGTTCTGGCCATTATGTCAAAGGGAGTCTGAAAAGTCTAAATGTCCATTTTGGTTTTACACTTCATTAACACAAAGTATTACATTTCATCTTCTTCATATGGAGACAGCATTCTTTATAGAATAGTGTGTTCTCTGTGTTCAGAGTGAGTAGTATTTTATTACAGGAGAGGATTCTTACTGCATCCCTTTCTACCAGTGTGGATCCATAATTAAAAAGTACTAGATTAAGCAGGCGCATGATTAAACTCTAGGTGGGACAAAGCGATGGCACCTCAGCAAAATGATTTAGTGGAGGATGTGTGTTGGTTCCCAGACTTCCCTGAAGACACACCTTATTCATTCCTGAGTGCACATCCTGTAGGCAATTCCGAGCCATAGGAGTAGCAGTAAAGGGACAGCAAGTGGAAGCCAGGAACATGTGAAATGCATGGGTTTCTGTGAAACAGCAATTCCTGCAAACACTTCCAAGACTACAGTTCAGTTGCAGTCTTGCAGATGACACCTATGTAGGTCATAGTGGCTAATTATATATCTGAGAGCTATTTTCTTTCCCGGAAAGGTGCGAATAACTGTGGTTACCTCTCTGAGTTGAAATGGCATGAGATGACAAGATTTAATTACACTAAATACAAGTAATTTTAACCTTGTTAAGAGCCTACATGAAAGGTAAGAAATATGGGTTTTATCCCTATGTTTGGTACAGCATTTCGTTCATTATGAGCAATTTTAAAATTTATTCTTGCTGACTAGTATTGTGTTTAAGTGTTTTGCATGAAGTGGGTTAAATATATGTTCTTTCTTCTCCTGTATGTCATTTTATGTTCGTAAAATGTGGCTTAAGTCCTTAATATAAGATACTAGACAAGCACAAAGTTTAGTAATACAGTAAAAAATTGTTTTAATGAATATGCAAAAGTCAGTCCTGCTTTGAAAATAAGCATATGTGATAAAATATAGCTGACTAAAACTGTAAAAATATATGATAATGAAACTGATCCAAAACTGCATCTGTTTCAGATATAATATACATTGGGACAGTGTAGCAAGTGTATTTCCATCAAAGAAGCATCAAGACTCAAGAATATCCTTGACCTTTATGAACAGGTATTTTTATAACTAGAAAATACTGATAATCATGTTACTCTTCTTAGTTGTTGCCATTTTAAATTTCATTCGATACCATGATTCATTATATACCATGTGCTTTACATTTTTGTGTAAATAATACTGAGTGATACTGCTCTTATGATATCCGCACGGTCTCGCTAAAAGGAGACATTTTGACATACTAGCTGCTCTGCATGCAGGAAAAAAGCTGAAGTCAGGGTCAGGGAGGCTGAAAAGCAAGCTCCTTATTCTTGAAGTTGGTAGGAGTGGTTTCAAACACCAGCTAAATGCTTGGATTATGTAATAACTGCTTGCATACATAATCACAGGTATTTCATGCCTTTAATTTCTTTTGGTTCTGTGGGTATCAGCAATTTCAGAGGATACTAAGTGATGTATGTGGGCTCCAGTATGCTGATAAAAGTCCAAATTGCAAACCTTTTTCCTTCTTTCATTCTGAATGCCTGTCCCCACCTTCACCACTTTATGTAAGGATCTTCACTTTCAAGACACAAAATAAAAGAGTGCTTAAAAAGTTGGATGCTGTAACAATGACAAAAATCCTACTTGTGAATCCACTCCTGTAAACTTTACTCTCGCTTCTCTTTTGTATTAAGCATATCCATATCTCCAGTGTTGTTTAATGTCTGCCTCTGTGTTTACCCTTGAAGGAAGTGTAGGAGCGTAGGTTGCCTTGCAAAAGCGGATGGCAGGGAACTCGGGGTAAAATTCTGTTATCTTTTTTTTCTCTATTATATCCCAACTTTTCTTGATTAATCCTGTGCTAAAGCTAGAGGAGGATCTTTTATTTGCTTGGCCTGACTTCCTCATCCTAAAAGGCACTTTGATTTGCATGGAAGGAATGGCATTGGAAAGATTACACTGAAAGGGGCTTATATGAAGGAAAGCTGATTGAGAAAGCTTATTTTTAAAAGTCTGGTCCTTTTAGTTTTGTATTAGACATTAAATTAGTTCTTTACCCTTTATACTTCTGTGCTCATGGTATGAAATAAAAAGTTAAAAAGAAGCATTTTTAATCTACCATAAATTCTCAGACACATTTTCCCCAAGAATGTGCAGCCTTAAAGCTGAGGATAGATCCAAGGAAGAGTTAAATGTCCTGTTGAGAGCTGGGGAAAGGTTAGCAAACCTGACCTCATTCCTGCTTCCCTCCTGGGTGTAAGAGCGAAGGACAGCAAGGGGTGGAGTCCATAGAGCAGTTGTTCTCAACTGGATTGTTGTGGTTTTAGAAGGGAGGTCTTGGTGGGTGGGTCCTGAACCACCCCCAAGAGAGCAACATATATTAGTAGAAGTAGATAGACCAAATTTTTATAAAAAGCAATGATAGACACTAATGGTAAAATGAGATAAATCACCCTCAGCTGGAAGCACTAAAGGTCATTTGTGATTTAGTACTCAGAGCAGCTTTGGAAAGGCAATCTTATCCTCTTCATTAATCATTAAATTCCTGTATTGAATAGCTTCTTTGTCTGCAAAAATTGCAAAATGCAGAAATTTTTGTTTTCCCTCCTTGATATTTAATTTTGTATTTTTCATGTGTAACACCCAAAGGCATAGCTTGTCCTTTTACTAATTCTTTCTCCAAAATCTCTTATTTCTGATGCTGTTGTAGAATGACACTTTTGCCCTCTCCAACTTCTCATTGTATAAATGGCAAAGAGTAAAGAAGAGAAAAGGTGAGAAAAGGAATAGGAAGCATTTTGTGTCCCAGCTTTGCACAGCACTGAAGCTCAGATCTTGTCTTGTATCTAGCACCAAGTCTTGTTTTGCTGCTAATGAAAAGCCTTCTGCCATAGAAGACATATTTGCTGCCTCAGTGGGCCGGTGGCCTTCCTCTAAATCCATTGTTGAAGGATCCTCTTCCAGACTGCTCCTAGCTGGGTAAAGTATATTTTACTCTATGAGTAATGTAGGTAACATATATATTTACACATTGATATGTTTTCTGTCCCTCTGGGAAAATGTGAAACTCATAATTATCCCACTAACGTGAATTTCTGCTTAACACTTGAAACAATAATAAAAGAAAACAGTTTATTCTAGTGAAATGTAAAGAAAAGAAATTAGCTACCAGATGTGAAAAATGAAGAGGGGATATGAATTTTACAATTACCCAAGACTTAAGCAGAGCTTTAGGTTTTCTCTGTTAAGTTCATTTGGTAGAGATAAATAGCTAAGTTTCACAACTTGTGAGAATAGTGGTCAATTTCTTTCCAAAACTTAACTTTTATCTAGAGCTCCACATTTCCTTAGATAACCCTTTTGTCAGTGATGATAAGTATACTTTCAAAGACTTCTGGAGACTTTTAACTTTGATGAGCAGTTCAATCAACATACTCAGTTATGACATGACTTCTAATAGATCAGAGCTTTTTTTTCACATACAATTGGGATGTGTCTCTTCCTATAAACAGGTTAGAGAGAATAAGCATTTCTGAATTGTCACAACAATTTCATCTAAGTTTGTAAGCTGTTATAGCCTACAATTTGAGAACAATTTAATTATGTGAACATTGCAACGGTAATAAGGAAGACAGCTTATTGCTAGCTCACAGCAGAGATTATACATGATAGGTAATGAGACAAAGCTGGCAGACAGCAGTAAACTTGGTCCTGGCAATTCCCCAGTTTGAACCTGCTGTTTTTGGAGAAGCATGGGCATGTAACTGTTTTCATGGCTCTATGGGTGCTTGTAGATGGAAACCATTTTGGGAGCTGCCAAATGGTGCCATGAAGTCCATGGATGTAGAGAATGTTTTGTGCCTCTTTGGGGCAAGGGCCAATGGACATAAGCCCTCAAACCAGTATTTTTGTAGAGGAATGTTTCACCTGGCCTTTATATTTGTACATAAAGTCTCAAAGAAGTGACTCACTGTTAAACAATGAATCAGAAGAAGCACAAACAGGAGGCAACTGAATTATATGGGATTTCACAGTGTAACCACATTTGGGTCATCGTGTGTCTTTTTGGCTTTTTTCTCATGTTGCTTATGTAAGGCCTTTCACTATTGTGAGAAATAAATGGCTCAATAATCCTACCCTCCTCCAAGTGGGCAGGATTATTTTTTTTTCCACAGCCCCTGCCCTCTCTCCACCAACAATATGTGAATAAGGGTATTGCTGGGAAGATGAAGAAATACTGATCTCAGACAGCGTGTTGCCCTCTGGTTTGATCCATTATGCACATCTCTGCTATTCAGGATTATAAAGAGACCAACTTTATTTTATGTAAAAAGTGATTGATGCAGCAGATGTGTTGCAAGGCTCAATGGTGAGCCTTTTATTTGCACTCCTCTGACCAGCTGCTGGCTCTGTAACCCAGTGTGGACTGTCAGGACACAGTTATTTAAATGTGTATCTCATAGCTGTATTTTCAGTGGTCGTGTCTCAAAGTAGCCCTTTTGACTCAGGTGCAATGAAAGAAGACTTTCTATTTGCAATGTCATAGTCTTGTTTAGAATTCATCTGAGGGCTGTGCCTGTCACAGCTTCATTGCTAAATGAGAGAATTCACCTTTCTCATATTTTCATAGTGTCCATTGTCTATATTTTTCCTTATGTTTTGATGATTTGCAGATTAGGCGTGTTTTAAGTCAGCAGTGAAATTCAATGTGCCCTGGGGATCACCATCTAAGGGTAATTTTAGGCCCTGGCACCCTGACTATACAGCTGCTGTGCACACAAATGTTAAGCCTCTTGAGAAACAGCATGCAAAGCCAAGCAAGAAGGCAATGCAACATATTATTCCTGCAAATGCCTGAACTCAACAGAACAGCAGTTGTGAAAGTGTGCAGTGTACTGATTGAGTCTGCTTAAATGTGTGTAATTGCACCCATTGTTCATTCAGTCAAAATTATGAAAACTGGTCCATTTTTTTTCTTCTTCCCTCCCTTTCTCTGCTTTTGTAATATGTGACTTTTTCTGTACCTTCCTCTTTGTGTCCTCTTTACAAATGGCCTTTGCCAAATGAAAATGCCGCCTGGCATTAATGGTTAATACTCTGAAATAACATTGCAGGCTGTAATAACATTCCATGAGAAGTAAGTTGTTATTTTTGAAAATGTGTGTTCTGTACAACAGTAGGTTATATGTCAAAGTTCTTTGCCTCCTTGAATGTGGAAGTCTGTATCTGTGTTATCTCCATAATGCTGAAGCAACAACATGTTGCCACTGTTCATCAAATTTTCAATGTATTTTGAATATTTTGTTGGGTTTTTTTTACATTTAAAAATGTTTCTTCCTCCTGTTTATGTGAAACAAAAGTGTCCAAAACTGTAAAAAGATTGAATATATGTTGCTGTTGTTGAGGAGGAGTTTGTTTTTGTCTTCTACACTGTTTCTAGGTTTTAAATTCCTCTCAATGTTCTCTTATGAGTTACATTATCTCTCAGGTTTAAAGATTAATCATTAAGGCTTCTTTAGATAGCTTTCTGGTCAGACAGAACCCCCAACAGAAACCACTAGCTGTATTATTGAAATCTTCTTGCCTCAGAAAGTTCATCTGCATAACAACTGTATCAAAAAATTTATTAGCCTGAATTGTGCCATATTTTACAAAATATGCCAGACAATGGAAATACTATCCAAACTGAGCTTTTGTAAGTACAGTTGGTATGAACTATGTCTCTGGGAACCTTTTCTCACTAAGCCAGTTTGTCAGCCATTCTTCCTAAGTTTTGTGTTGTTCACAGTGTTACTTGCTGGGATAGGAGTTTGTGAACACTCCCAAACCTTCCAGATGGGACTACAGTCCCTCTCTTTTCTGTTTCATATCTATCAGGGCTGATGCAAGACCCAAGTGAAACAGGTAACAGGACTGGGGAACTAGTGTAGACCCATTGCCTCCTTTTTCTATGTCAGAGCTCTGTAAAGCAAGATTTACTGCTGCTGATGCCACTAGGGAATGGCTGTCATCTGTGGCATAGCAGGTATGAGTGCTTGTGAGGAGTTCAGTCCCTCCAGGGAGCCCAAATTACTCTTCCTGATAATTTCATTACTTGGCAGGAGCAGCAAGTGTGCTCTTTCAAGAGTGAAGCTGAGCCTCAGAGGCCTTTTTCTCTTGCTTGCCAAGCAGTGGTTGCCCAGGCCTGTCCCGTCACCGTGAGACCACTGAGCTCAGCGTCAGTCATGCTGCCTGACACCATGACACGATCACCACAATATTCTGCACTTCCAAAAATGACTCACTTTTTGACTGCAGGCAAGTCACATTCTCAGTTCCTCAGTTTCTCTGTGAAACTCCCCTTTTGGAGGAGGTGGTGAAGGCTGGATAATATTTGATTAATGCTTCCAGAGACGGGGCTAATTATAATCTCCATTCACCCCTTCTTTCCTGTGACAGTACCATGAAATATAATCAGTAACAATCAATCACCTAGAACTAAATAAAAAAGCCTTAAAAGGTAAAATGGAACTATTGTAGATGCTAGAGGCTAAAAACTTTAAGAGGGCAGAAGTGAGATAGTTTGGATAATTATTTTTTGATGATGCTAGTAGCACAATTATTCAGTACATGCAAATGGAAAATATAAACTAATATAAATATATATGTATAAATATATAAATTATAAACTTAATATAGGTATAAACTTAAAAATGTAAACTCTAAATTTTACCTAGGGTAATTCCTAGGAAAAGCAAGTCAGGGAGTAGGTCTGTAAATGTCCATCTTCAGTCCTAAGAAGATGACAGTATGAAAAGGATGATGCAAGAAGGACACTCTTACTCTCAGAATCAGGGCTGCTTCTGGTGGTGCACATGTGGACACTGCTAGTCAGGGTTGGATGCCCTGTATTTTTTAATTCAGGATGAATCTTTCCTCTGAATGATGATTTATTTTTTGTTTTGGTAAAAACCATCTAAACACATACAATTAAGTCACAATTTAAGATCCCACAAAAGGAATCTCTATTGCTTTGAACCTCTCTTACTATGTATCCACATGACCATATGTGAATGCAAACACTCCCTTGAAATTAATTTTGTGTCAATAGCGTGTGAATGGGAACTCAGCAGATATTTGCTTATACAATGAGGTGGGTGACAAGAAAATACTTATGACTTGATGGAAAGAATATAAAAAACGTTTGTCAACTACTCAGTAAGGTGAGTGCTGGATATATTTAACAATTTGCTTTGATGGTGCTGTGCATTTTCTAATTTATTGGATGCCTGCTTCCTTCATAAAGTAAATTATGTATCATTAATCTTGCTTGGAAGCTGGTACCTTCAAGATAATTTAGTGATTATTTTCTTAGATAATCTACCAGTTAGGAAAGTATGATGTGATCAATATAGAGAACTAATCTAGCTATCAATGATTTATGTGTGTACATGTACAATATATGCCACACTACACTTGACCTCTCCTCTCAAAGGCATTCACATTTGTTTTGAGGAGTGAAATATTTTATTTCACATCTTTTGGCACTCAATGTTGTTAGAAGCTAAGATTTATAATGGCAAAGGGAGTACATTGATTGATTCCTACACTCATCTACCTAAACATTTCTAAAATGTGGGAAATTAGCACTGATTCTTTAATAACCTCTATGAAGCCAAGGCCATGAATCAGTGTGCACTGCAAGGTCTGGGCCATAATCAGTGTTGGGAGGACAGATTGAGTCTTGATTCAAGAATGCAATTAAGCATGTGCTTAACTTTGGGCACATTTTATGCCTATGGTAATCGGCTACCACAAAACCCACATCCCTTTATAGCACAGCACTGGAGCCCTGAGAGGCCAGTCCAGAGCCCATCCTACTCACCTGGAAATCACAGGAGCTTGCTATAGGAATGGCTGAAGTGGGCGAGCTGAGCAGGGACAGCTGGTGCCCGTTTGCCTGCTAGAGAACTGTGCCCATGTGCGCTGCCGCAGTACACGGATGCACTGGAGCTTTCCCTGAGCCTGCTAGGGGTGGTGGGATGCTCCAGTGTGACTGCCTAGTGAACTTGTTCTCAAAAGGAGCCTGGAGGCCACTGTTGGAAACATTACAGGGCCAGATATTATGGTCTAAGGATGCAGCAAAGATGAAACTAAGTGTTTTCCTGGAGGTATAGTCTATTGAGTCAGACCCTGTTCAGCAGATGCTCAGCTATCTTCAAGGGCAAGAAATAGTCTTTCCTTCCAGCTTGGTTGCATTTCTAACCTGATATTCCTGTTACAGTAATAAAAAAATGGAGAAAGGATTTATTTGCTTTTGGTAGAAAATGTGGCTTAATGAGAAAGTAAAATGGTTTGAAGAAAGTATGGTTCTGTGTGTCTTCTCCCAGCTGCAAGGTTTTGAAAAAAAAATGGGTAAATAAATATATCTTTGATGAAGTCCATTTTCATTGCCTTCTGTGAATTTGCTGATTCAAATTGGAGCTGGAAATATAATTGCTACTACTTTCCAGTGGCAGCTATTTCTATCGTGGTTCTAAACCAAAGGGATGTTTTGGTTGAAGTCTGTCCTCAGGTGATGTTCTGGCTGATAAATCAATGAGACAGATAAATCAATGGTGCAATGCTACTGAAATTAAAAGGCAAATACCTGGTCTGTGTTACTTTCATTTATACCGTGTAAATGACAGTGGTGCATGCTCTGCTTTCTTATTCTATGGAAGAGTATAGTCCAAGAGGTAAGAGAAATATCTGAACTTTGGATTGTCCAACTGAAGTTGATTTTTGAACTTTTAAGGTTTACTTATCACTGAAGCTAATGTGTTCCAGAAAAAGCTGTCTCACTTTGTGACCTTCTAATGACTAACTATTCTGCTCTATTTCATTTTTTATTTCACACCTCTCACCTTTGTATTTGGATGCCAGTGAGACGAGCACCTTGAAAAGTGATTGAATTCAAAGGACTCCAAGTTTTTCCCTAACTTTGGTTTTATAGAAACCTATTTTTTGCTCCAGTTAGCTGGCCTCTTGGAGATTGCTTTCTGACAGTAACCTGGGAACACTGCAGCCTATTATCCTACAGGATCAAAGGACAAGTTTTTTTTGCAATGGAGGCTTTTCCAATCTTATATCAACCATAGCAGGAGAGAATCTGCACACAGACAGTTGAACCCATTTGGGCTTCAGGAT